TCCGGGTCATCTTCTGTTCATGCGTGATCGCGCTTGATAGATTTTTTTTTCGTACGACCGTCATACCACCGCATAGAAAATCTGTCAATAAAGATTTCAGTGTCTGAGGATACTAGCTGTACATATCTGGTGCAGTCTGGCACCCTTTTAATGTGAGTGTGTTTATACTCAGTTTTTATAAAGGATAAAGCACTATTTTCAGTGTTTCTGTTTACATGGCATGGAGCAGTACCCAGAAATTATCGTGGCCCATCTAATGGACAAAAGCCCATTTTGAACGAACTGCATTGAAATATATTGAATATGGACAAAATTGTAGCATTTCAAATATATGGCAATATCGGAGTGAAGGAACCCTGCCCTCCAGTATCACAGAGAAGGAACCCTGCCCTCCAGTATCGGAGAGAAGGAGCCCTGCTCTCCAGTATCGGAAAGAAGGAACCCTGCTCTCCAGTATCGGAGAGAAGGAACCCTGCCCTCTTGTATCGGAGAGAAGAAGCCCTGCTCTCCAGTATCGAAGAGAAGGAACCCTGCCCTCCAGTATCGGAGAGAAGAAGCCCTGCTTCCAGTATCGGAGAGAAGGAACCCTGCTCTCCAGTATCGGAGAGAAGGAACCCTGCCCTCTTGTATCGGAGAGAAGAAGCCCTGCTCTCCAGTATCGAAGAGAAGGAACCCTGCCCTCCAGTATCAGAGAGAAGGAACCCTGCTCTCGAGTATCAGAGAGAAGGAACCCTGCCCTCCAGTATCAGAGAGAAGGAACCCTGCCCTCCAGTATCGGAGAGAAGGAACCCTGCCCTCCAGTATCGAAGAGAAGGAACCCTGCTCTCCAGTATCGGAGAGAAGGAACCCTGCCCTCTTGTATCGGAGAGAAGGAACCCTGCTCTCGAGTATCAGAGAGAAGGAACCCTGCCCTCCAGTATCACAGAGAAGGAACCCTGCCCCCTCCAGTATCGGAGAGAAGGAACCCTGCCCTCCAGTATCGAAGAGAAGGAACCCTGCTCTCCAGTATCGGAGAGAAGGAACCCTGCCCTCTTGTATCGGAGAGAAGGAACCCTGCTCTCGAGTATCAGAGAGAAGGAGCCCTGCCCTCCAGTATCGGAGAGAAGGAACCCTGCCCTCCAGTATCGAAGAGAAGGAACCCTGCTCTCCAGTATCGGAGAGAAGGAACCCTGCCCTCTTGTATCGGAGAGAAGGAACCCTGCCCTCCAGTATTGAAGAGAAGGAGCCCTGTTCTCCAGTATCGGAGAGAAGAAGCCCTGATCTCCAGTATCTGAGAGAAGGAACCCTGCTCTTCAGTATCTCACCAGCGGTCTATCTGAAAATCAAAGTCTATCCACGGGTTTTTGTTGCTTCCTAGATCCCCAAGTAAATTGGACAGTAAAGGAAAAATGTCACTATTGAATACAGCTTAGTTCCAGGATGCATCATGATCACAAAAAGGATATCGGGGAACTGGAGAAAGTGCAGAGCAGGGCAACCAAACTGATAAGAGGCATGGAGGAGCTCAGCTATGAGGAAAGATTAGAAGAACTGAATGTATTCTCTTTTGAAATGAGGAGATTAAAGGAGGAATATAATTGCCATGTATAAAAAAGGGGTCCATATAGTGAACTTGGTTTATATCGAGTTATTCACTGTAAGGTCATCATAGAGGACAAGGGGCCACTCCTTACGTCTGTAGGAACTTAGATTTATCCTCCATATGCAAAAAGGTTTCTCCACAGTAAGAGCCGTGAAAATGTGGAACAGACTCCCTCAAGAGCTCGTTCTGGTCAGCTCAGTTAATTGTTTTTAAAAAAGTCCTGGATTCTTTCCTAAATACATCAAATACAACTGGATATTAAGATTTATAGGTCAAGTTGATCCAGGGAATATCCGATTGCCTCTCGGGGGATCAGGAAGGAATTTTTTTCCCAGCAGGAGCAAATTAGATCATGCTTAATTAGGGGTTTTTCGCCTTCCTCTAGATCAACTGTGGGTGTAGGATTGTGTGGAGCCCTGCCCTCCAGTATCGGAGAGAAGGAGCCCTGCCCTCCAGTATCGGAGAGAAGGAGCCCTGCCCTCCAGTATCGGAGAGAAGGAGCCCTGCCCTCCAGTATCGGAGAGAAGGAGCCCTGCCCTCCAGTATTGGAGAGGAGCCCTGCTCTCCAGTATCGGAGATAATGAACCCTGCCCTCCAGTATCGGAGAGAAGGAACCCTGCCCTCCAGTATCGGAGTTAATGAACCCTGCCTTCTAGTATCGGAGAGAAGGAACCCTGCCCTCTAGTATTGGAGAGAAGGAATCCTGCCCTCCAGTATCGGAGAGAAGGAACCCTGCCCTCCAGTATCGGAGTTAATGAACCCTGCCCTCTAGTATCGGAGAGAAGGAACCCTGCCCTCTAGTATCGGAGAGAAGGAACCCTGCCCTCCAGTATCGGAGAGAAGGAACCCTGCCCTCTTGTATCGGAGATAAGGAACCCTGCCCTCCAGTATCGGAGAAAAGGAGCCCTGCCCTCCAGTATCGTAGAGAAGGAACCCTGCCCTCCAGTATCGGAGATAATGAACCCTGCCCTCCAGTATCGAAGAGAAGGAACCCTGCCCTCCAGTATCGGAGAGAAAGAACCCTGCCCTCCAGTGTCGGAGAGAAGAAGCCCTGCTCTCCAGTATCGAAGAGAAGGAACCCTGCCCTCCAGTATATCAGAGAGAAGGAACCCTGCTCTCCAGTATCGGAGAGAAGGAACCCTGCCCTCCAGTATCGGAGAGAAGGAACCCTGCCCTCCAGTATCGAAGAGAAGGAACCCTGCTCTCCAGTATCGGAGAGAAGGAACCCTGCTCTCCAGTATCGAAGAGAAGGAACCCTGCCCTCCAGTATCGGAGAGAAAGAACTCTGCCCTCCAGTATCGGAGAGAAGAAGCCCTGCTCTCCAGTATCGAAGAGAAGGAACCCTGCCCTCCAGTATCGGAGAGAAGGAACCCTGCCCTCCAGTATCGGAGAGAAGGAACCCTGCTCTCCGATATCGGAGAGAAAGAACCCTGCCCTCCAGTATCGAAGAGAAGGAACCCTGCCCTCCAGTATCGAAGAGAAGGAAGCCTGCACACCAGTATCGGAGAGAAGGAAACCTGACCTCCAGTATCGGAGAGAAGAAGCCCTGCTCTCCAGTATCGGGGAGAAGGAACCCTGCTCTCCAGTATCAGAGAGAAGGAACCCTGCCCTCCAGTATCGGAGAGAAGGAACCCTGGCCTCCAGTATCGGAGAGAAGAAGCCCTGTTCTCCAGTATCGGAGAGAAGAAGCCCTGCTCTCCAGTATCTGAGAGAAGGAACCCTGCTCTTCAGTATCTCACCAGCGGTCTATCTGAAAATCAAAGTCTATCCACGGGTTTTTGTTGCTTCCTAGATCCCCAAGTAAATTGGACAGTAAAGGAAAAATGTCACTATTGAATACAGCTTAGTTCCAGGATGCATCATGATCACAAAAAGGATATCGGGGAACTGGAGAAAGTGCAGAGCAGGGCAACCAAACTGATAAGAGGCATGGAGGAGCTCAGTTATGAGGAAAGATTAGAGGAACTGAATGTATTCTCTTTTGAAATGAGGAGATTAAAGGAGGAATATAATTGCCATGTATAAAAAAGGGGTCCATATAGTAAACTCGGTTTATATCGAGTTATTCACTGTAAGGTCATCATAGAGGACAAGGGGCCACTCCTTACGTCTGTAGGAACTTAGATTTATCCTCCATATGCAAAAAGGTTTCTCCACAGTAAGAGCTGTGAAAATGTGGAATAGACTCCCTCAAGAGCTCGTTCTGGTCAGCTCAGTTAATTGTTTTAAAAAAAGTCCTGGATTCTTTTTTAAATACATCAAATACAACTGGATATTAAGATTTATAGGTCAAGTTGATCCAGGGAATATCCGATTGCCTCTCGGGGGATCAGGAAGGAATTTTTTTCCCCTGCTGGAGCAAATTAAATCATGCTTAATTGGGGGTTTTTCGCCTTCCTCTGGATCAACTGTGGGTGTAGGATTGTGTGTATATACGATTGTATATCATTTTTTTTTCTCCCGCTCTGGATGGACTTGCTTGCTTCTTTTTTTATATATGATGTTGTATCATCATTGTCATATTACTTGACACAATGTATTCTTTTAATTTCAGGGAACAATGGATTTCCTACCATGAGCTTTACAGAAAATCAGTGATCTGCATATTCAAGGTTAGTGGTTGGCATCTTTGACAAGATGTTTTGCCTATCCTACCGACTTAAAGGTTGCTCTTGCCTTTCCGAGGCTCCTTAGCTACCCTGATCCCCAGCTTTTCGGGGTCCTGAAAATCCAGTGTGAATTATGACATTTTAAATTCAGTACTTGTGAAATGTTCAAATGAATCTCTAATAGTCTGGGGTCAATTCTATTTTTTTTTTTTTTTTTTGTTTTGTTTGAAGCATACATGTTTATAAATGGAATTTTTTTCACATTGTAAAGTATATAAAATTTGTGAACATATATAGGGTGCACCTGACTCATTCTCCTCCTGCGTGTATAAATGTCAACTCACCCTAGGTTCACACCTAAGCGTTTCCGCATCGTTTTGCAGAAACAGTCCATTTAACATGATTTCCTATGGGACACATTCACATCTCAGCGTTTTCACCCGCTGCATTTTTTTTTTTGTGGAAAGGATCAGGGGCTTTTTTTTAAACGCAAAAAGTTGCCTTTTTGGTTCTATATACTTCAGTGGAAATGTTGCAGAAAAGTATGTATTGTGTTTTTGCGGTGTTTCTAATGTGTTTCTGATGTGTTTTGCATTTTAAATCTGCCTAGCAACAAGAAAAATAAGGAAAAAAACGCAAAATGCATCAAAAACGCAATGCACAAATGGCTCAAACGCAGCCTGCATAGGTGTGAACCTAGCCAAAGGCTGGCCATACGTTATACAAATGTCTTGAGAATTTTGCTTTAGATTTTCCAAAAACCAATTAATATGAGGTCAAACCTAAATAACACTTTCAGTTGTATCCAATTAGGCAGGCTCTTGCACTACATAGTTCAAGGTAAATCTAAAGGAAATTGGGCAGAAAATTGTATAGTGTATGGCCAGCCTTAGACAGGATCCATTTAACCTACCAGCATGTCTTTGGAGTGTCGGAGGAAACCCACACAGGCACAGGGAGAACATACAAACTCCAGGCAGGTGGTGGTGCCTTGGTTGGGATTTGAACCAATGACCCCAGTACTGCCAGGCGAAAGTGCTAACCACTTAGCCACTGTGCGAAAATACAATATACTTTTCTATCCATTTACTAATGTTAAGGATTTAAAATAGTCCGTGTAGATTGAGAGATTGAAGTTCCACTTTAAGTGTTTGGGTTGAGACACAGTTTAATTACATTTTCCAGGAATGCATTTCATTAGTAATAGCTGGCTGAATACCAGCCAGCCCGGGTGTCTCACCGACCATAATTCCTCATGCGCACCACGAGGAAGTTGATCCAGGGAATATCCGATTTCCTCTCGGGGGATCAGGAAGGAACTTTTTCCCCTGCAGGAGCAAATTGGATCGTGCTTTGCTGGGTTTTTTTTGCCTTCCTCTGGATCAACTGTGGGTGTAGGATTATAACTTTTTTTTTTTTTCCAATGGTTGAACTGGATGGACTTTTGTCTTTTTTCAGCCAGACTAACTATGTAACATGGGACGTTTTGATAATGCTGGCAACGTTAGCTGTGTAAAGTAACATTAACCACTTGCCGTCCGCCTGCTGTTTATAAACGGGCCGGACGGTGGCACTGCAGGGGCGGGTTGCCATTCATAAACGGCACCCGCCATTTCTAGCTGTGTGCGCTCCCTGGGGAGAGCGCAGCACTGCGATACGGTGCCCGCTGTGTCCTCCGGACACAGTGAAACACCGATCGTCGGACGGGACCTCTATACGAGGTCACGATCATGTGATCACTGATAGGCCAATCAGTGATCTCATGCAAAGTAGTAAGCAAGATGTCACTTGTGACATAATTGCTTACTACATGTGAAATCTGTGAATGATCACAAAGTTGACATGGTACAAGGCTATTCACAACAGCCTTGTACCATGTGACAAGCTGTGACCAATCACAGCTCACTCAGTATTTCTTAATGGCTGCAAGAATGCAGCCAGAGAGAAGGAGAAATGATCGCTTTAACATTCTATATGGGTGTAAAAGCAATCACTGTAAAAAAAAAAATCTTCATCACCCCACACAAGTAGTACAGTGTCACCATGGTGACACTGTACTGCTAGGGTGACAGTATGTAAAAAAAAAAAAAACCATAAATAATAATATAAAAAAATAAAATAAAAATGTAAACAAAATGTTTAAAAATTATAATTTTTGGTTATAAACTAATTTGGCTTTTTTTTTTTTTTTTTTACTAAAAATATAACGGAATACATTTCGGCCAAGATTTATGATGAAAGACTATTTATTGGCCAAATTTTATAAGAAAAACACTTTTTTTTTTTCAAAATTTTTGGACTTTTTCATTTACATAGCAAAAAAAATAAAAATCCCAGCGTTGAATAAATACCACCAAAATAAAGCTTTATCTGTCTCAAAAAAATGGTAAAAAATTCATATGGGTACAGTGTTGCATGACCGCGCAATTGTCATTCAAAGTGTGATAGCGCTAAAAGCTGAAAATTGCCCTGGACAGGAAGGGGGTAAAAGTGTCCGGACAGGAAGTGGCTAAAAACGTGCGTTTTTCATCGTTTTTTAGAATTTTTGCATTAGCGTTTTCCCGCGTTTGCGTTTTCCTGCTTTTCTATATTTACTAAAAAAAAACCAGTTTTTCTTTTTTGGACAAAAAACATCAAAAAAAAACGCTGGTTTGCCGCGTTTTTTACCGCGTTTTTCAGCGTTAGAGCATTTCTTTATTTGTACCAAAAAAAAGGGTTTTTTTGGGTCAAAAAAAACATAAAAAAACACCAGTTTGTGCCGTTTTACTGCGTTTTTCAGCGTTAGAGCATTTTTTTATTTGTACCAAAAAAGGGTTTTTTTTTTTTTTTTGTCAAAAAACATAAAAAAAACACCAGTTTGTGCCGTTTTACTGCGTTTTTCAGCGTTAGATCGTTTTTACAGCTAGAAAACTCCTCTAGAAAACACACTAGTTTTTGGGGTTTTTTTTCAGCCAAAAAACATTGATTACAGTCTGTGTGCATGGACACATAGGATAACATGCTGGGGGTTTTACTAGCTGTAGAAAAAATGTCAAAAGCTAAAAACAGCCGCTGTAAAAACGTCCCGTGTGCATGAGGACTAATTAGTAATACCTGGCTGAATACCAGCCAGGGTGTCTCACGAACCATAAGAAAGACACTTGTCTTGCCTTCTGTATCTTGGATTCACCATTTTCTTCTTCATCTCTTGTCTATGTAACTATAGGTAGCTGTCAGAAGGAGCTCATGAAGTGTAATTTGCCCTGCAGTCCTTCCTTAGCCAGGTTCTCATAAATCTCCAACGTTCAGACAAGTTTATCTTGCTGAGAAATAATTGTGTACACAACAGATAACCCGATTCTTTCTGGCTTTCTAAAATTAGCAGGTTAAAAATGTGTAAACTCGATATACAGGTTTTGCCAGTAAAATGTGTGGTCTAGGAATCTTCTGAAGTACGCGGTGAGTTATGTTTTTCAACAAGTAAAACAGGTTTCTCAAAGTGGTTCGGCCTTAAAACATCCAGGCCTGGTCTAAGATCATGCCCTCGGCCTACATCGTAAGGCATCAGTTGCTGACTTCAAGGTGCCCGTGGGGTCTCTCATACTTCGGTCAAGTTTTATCTCATCCAGAGTTGAAGTTTAACCTCATCAATTGGGTGTTTCTAGGATGTGACATTTCCTTGAGGGCAAGGCAACATTGTTTTTTTTTTTTTGTGCTGCTTCTGTTCTTGACAGTCAATGGCTGTTGGGTAACTTCCAGGCTGCATGGGGTTCAGTGTCTTCCAGCCCCTTGTTCTGCAGCCTGGCTATCAGGGATACATGTCGAAGCTGGCTTCTTAAGTGGGTACTGCACACAGCTGCCTGCCTGCTAATATAGCCCTACCTCCACTTCCTTTGAATGACAGGTAGAGCAGCCTGCTGACTGCTCCTCCCACTGGCAACCACAAGTGACCGATTCTAGAAGACCTCATGATGACATCCCATGGTCTAACCCAGCCCTTTTCAATCTTCTAAACACAGTGGATCCCTTAAAGATAACTTACCAGTCTCAGGGAACCCCTGCTAAAAATTACTATATCTGCAAACCATGTTTCATTAGTGTGATGATCAGTGGGAAGAAATACTCCTCACACCTGTGATCATTGGGAGGAATTCCCCCCTTACAGAGAGCTAAAAAGATCAGTGGTGTCAGTGGGAACTTATCTGAGAGGCAGAAATTGCACATTGCTTAAGGAACTCCTAGCAACCTCCAAAGGAACCCTCCCACTGGCAACCACAAGTGACCGATCCTAGAAGACATCATGATGACATCCCATGGTCTAACCCAGCCCTTTTCAGCCTTTTAAACACAGAAGATCCCTTAAAGATAACTTTCCGGTCTCGGTAAAAATTACTATATCTGCAACCTATGTTACATTAGTGTGATGGTCAGTGGGAAGAATGCTCCTTAGACTTGTGGTCTTTGGGAAGAATTTCCTCCTTACAGATAGCTAAAAAAAAATGAGTGGTGTCAGTGGGAACTTATCTGAGAGGCAGAAATTGCTCATTGCTTAAGCAACTCCTAGCAACCTCCAGAGGAACCCTCCCACTGGCAACCACAAGTGACCGATCCTAGAAGACCTCATGATGATATCCCATGGTCTAACCCAGCTCTTTTCAATCTTCTAAACACAGAGCATCCTTTAAAGATAACTTTCCGGTCTCAGGGAACCCCTGCTAAAAATTACAATATCTGCAACCTATGTTACATTAGTGTGATGGTCAGTGGAAAGAATGCTCCTTACACTTGTGGTCTTTGGAAAGAATTCCCTCCTTACAGAGAGCTAAAAAGATCAGTGGTGTCAGTGGGAACTTATTTGAGAGGCAGAAATTGCTCTTTGCTTAAGGAACTCCTAGCAACCTCCAAAGGAACCCTCCCAATGGCAACCACACAAGTGACCGATCGTAGAAGACCTCATGATGACATCCCATGGTCTAACCCAGCCCTTTTCAGCCTTTTAAACACAGAGGTTCCCTTAAAGATAACTTTCCGGTCTTGGGGAACCCCTGCTAAAAATTACTATATCTGCAACCCATGGTACATTAGTGTGATGGTCAGTGGGACAAATGCTCCTCACACTTGTGGTCTTTGGGAAGAATTCCCCCCTTACAGATAGCTAAAAAAAATCAGTGGTGTCAGTGGGAACTTATCTGAGAGGCAGAAATTGCTCATTGCTTAAGGAACTCCAAGCAACCTCCAGAAGAACCCTCCCACTGGCAACCACAAGTGACCGATCCTAGAAGACCTCATGATGACATCCCATGGTTTAACCCAGCCCTTTTGAATCTTCTAAACACAGTGGATCCCTTAAAGATAACTTACCGGTCTCAGGGAACCCCTGCTAAAAATTACTATATCTGCAAACCATGTTTCATTAGTGTGATGGTCAGTGGGAAGAATGCTCCCTCACACCTGTGATCATTGGGAAGAATTCCCCCCTTACAGAGAGCTAAAAAGATCAGTTTTGTCAGTGGGAACTTATTTGAGAGGCAGACATTGCTCATTGATTAAGGAACTCCTATCAACCTCCAAAGGAACTCTCCAACTGGCAACCACAAGTGACTGATCCTAGAAGACCTCATGATGACATCCCATGGTCTAACCCAGCCCTTTTCAGCCTTTTAAACACAGAGGATCCCTTAAAGATAACTTTCTGGCTCGGGGAACCCCTGCTAAAAAATTACTATATCTGCAACCCATGGTACATTAGTGTGATGGTCAGTGGGACAAATGCTCCTTATGCTTGTGGTCTTTGGGAAGAATTCCCCCCTTACAGATAGCTAAAATAATCAGTGGTGTCAGTGGGAACTTATCTGAGAGGCAGAAATTGCTCATTGCTTAAGGAACTCCTAGCAACCTCCAGAGGAACCCTAGGCTTCCATGGAACCCTGGTTGAGAAACCCTGGTCTAACATATGAAATATCTTTGAAATGATGCAAAGCATTTTCAAAACTGAGGGATCATGACATCACATGGACAAAAAAAAGTGAAATACCTTCAAAATGGAACAAAGTATATTCAAAATTCTTTTCACTTTGCTATTTAAGGCTTTTCAAAGTGAAATTTGGTGAAATTGGCAGTTTGCCTATAGGTCAGGCATCATCGTAAGCACACCACTGATACATTACTGGAGGTTTTCTATTGATTTATTTTTTTTTTTTATTGGTTGAACTCATATTTCAACCTGATGATGTTATTATGTGATGAAACCATTATACATTAGTTTTTGTCCGTAGCATTTATATGCTGCATGATATAGTGATGAACCTGCTTAACCTCCTTAGCGGTATTCCTGAGTGTAGCTCGGGGTAAAATTTCAGTACCAAGATCGGTAACCACGAGCTACACTCGGGCTTACCGTGCGGCGTTCTCAGGGGGTCCCTGCAGCACTTACCTTACCTTGTCCCTTGCAGTGTCCCCGGCCATCTCCTCCGGCCAATGCCGGCATCCGGCTTCTGTGTTCCGGTCCCTGTGACGTTGGGAAATTTTACATTTTTAAAAAATGTAATTTTTTGCTGTCATTTCTGTTTCAATGCATTTCACATACATTTTGTCCCGAGTGCTTTGTCCGGCGCCCTGCCTGCATTTTGTCTGTTCTTTCTGCCTGGAAACTGAGAAACGTCCATGGTGTCCAAAAAGCGTTCCTTTAGGTCAAAAGCGGTTTTAGACCGGCTAGAGAACAGCGATAGTAAATCAGAACCACTTGCAGAATTGAGCGATAATGATTTGTGGGGAAATTCGTCATCAGACACTGAAAACGATTTTGCGACTTTGCTCAGCGATGTGCGAATTTGCCTCTGTATTTCAAATTTCAGTGTTTTTGGTTTGATATTATTGAATTAAATTTATTATTATTATATTATTCTTTTTTATGATTATTTATTAAAT